GTGTGAGAGCGAAGAGACACCGAATCGGTATCACGTCCGATTATGCTTTCTCTCTCCATCGCGCATCTTACGCTAAGGAACATCGAATTGTCCCCACTATTTTTCTCCCCGCTTCGCGATCTCCTCCGCGCTCCGCGGAAACACGGACGTACGCGCTTCGTGTGTATGTGTAGCAGCCGCGCGCCGAGCGCTGGACATTCCCCTTGGTGCGTGTACGCCTCGCATCGGTCCTATATTACAGTGGCCGATTTCGAGAAATAAATTTATCGGAAATAAATTTAATGTGCGACAGTAAAAAAGAGAATAAATTATGTAATAAATTGTGTGTGTGTAATAATACAATAAAATATAGTTCTTTTCGCAAATATATCTGTTATACGTTAACTATTTCAATCATGTATATAATAAAAACATCAAAATCGAATCGATGACGAACGAAGTTCTACGTTGGTACAGTGCAATGTATGAGACTTTCTGTACGAAAAGTTGGAGTTTGATCCCCAGTCGTTTCTTCCGTTAGAAGATATGTTTTGCTCATATCTTCTTTTTTTTTTATCTTTCTTACAACATAAAATATACGACTAATATCTGACAAATTTAATTAGAATAAAAAATTTGTAATAACATTTTATTTGCAAAATAAAAACGTTATGGCGCTGTATATTTGTGAATTTTTATCATAGTACGGGTGTATCTTTAAGAATATGAACAATTTATATATCATTGGACATTACAAATATATAATGTAATATATTTGTACATTATTTATATATATAAATATTATAAATATATTTTACATATTTGTAATGTCCAATGATTATATAAATTGTTTGTATTTTTAAAGATTACACCCGCACCATGATAAAAATTTACAAATATACAGCGTCATAACGTTTTTATTTTGTAAGTAAAATGTTGTATTAAAAATTTTTTTATTCTAATTAAATTTTTCAGACATCAGTCGTATATTTTATATTGTAAGAAAGATAAAAGAAAAAGGAGGTATGAGCGGATAGCATAATCTCCTAACGGAGAGTAACTGGAGATCGAACCCGAGCTTTTTCGCACAAGTCTCATACATTGCCACTCTACCAACACAGAACTTCGTCGGTTACCGTTTTGATTCTGATATTTC